ATTTTTTCTTCTTATAATAACTTAAAATATCTTTTCGCGATTTTAGAGAAACGAATGTCCCAATAAAACCTGTGCATTCTATATTTGTGTTTTGTGGAGGCCCTGGGACAACCACCCCTGTTGCGCCCTCCTAAATCCGTTGCTGACAGAGTAAATATTTTTCCCTCACCACGGAATGCACTCAACTACCGATCCAATATTCACGTGGGATGAAGACACCGACGCACGGGTCTCGCTGTTCATCCCATTTAGTGCTCTGGGCTGACATCCGTGGAGCTGTGATCACATGTATCACCGTGGAGTGACGCTTAGGCACAGGGACTGTTCTCAGAATCACTGGGTCTTTGGACTTTGCCCGTCGTCCGGTATTCTAGAAACTAGAAAATAGCGTTTCGGAAGCTGGATCTCTTTCCGTCCTCAAGTGAGATGGGGTAAGGCACCTACTCTGTTGGAACCCTTAGAAACAGCTGACCTCAATCAACGGGCAACTCTTGTCATATTCACTACAGCTATTTAATTACGTGAGACCTGGCTAATTCGGAGGGAGATAATAAGAAAATATGCAATAAATTTATCATAGAGTACGCACATGCGTGGAACTAGGATAGAAAAAGAGGTAGAAATTTATGTTACAAACTTGGCCAACAAAACCAGCGCATAAGCACAGGGGCTGTCCACTGATTGAGATTAGCTCTTTCTAAGGGAGCCAACTGAGGAGGTGTCTTCTCCCCTCAACATGAGGACGCTAACAAATGCAGTTTCCAATATGTTGTGTCTTCTAGTTTCTAGAATACCGGACGATGGACAAAGTCCTAAAACCCAGTGATTCTGTGTTATACACCATCGTTAGAGCCCTTTAGAATCTACGGGGAAACACCTACTGTTCGCGCATCAGAATATTGGACTTCGACACGAAAGAAATACGAAACAGAAGCAGCAGTAATGCGCTTCATGATAAAAGTTGTTTAGAACATATAAATATGAAAGGCAAATTAACTGAACGCAAGAGTGGCAATATAATCCAGTGACATGTGGATATTTTCCAAAATTTTAGTTTTCTAAAATGTGTTGTATCTTCTTCCTCTCCTTTAATTGCAGATAAAAATAAATTCTATCCTATTTTCCCTAGTTTGAAAAATTAAAGAAAAGTAAGAAATCACTTTGCTCTTTATGTGCATTTGTTCACTCCCTCCCCAACAACAACATTCGAACCCCTGTACGGAATTTCATGGAACTTGATTGGTATGTACATTATGCTACCTGAGGCCATCTCAACAGCGTACTTCACAAATCCTGCCATCGGTATCACCAACACTGATGACTCTCAGACTGTTGAAATAAGGAGCATAATATCGCTGGAATTCCTGAATTGATCGCTATGAAATTTGGTATGCATATCATACTACCAGTGGTCATCCCAATGGCGTACTTCATAAATCCCTCCTATCAGTAATACCAATACTGCAGTCTTTGAAATAGTTAACCTTAATATTTGCTTCAGTGCTTGAATCAATCAACGTGAAAACTGGCATCTATATCCTGCTACTTTATGGTATCACAAGGGCTTATCTCCTAATTCTTTCCCATCAGCAATATCAGAAACCAGCACTCTTTGAAATTGTTGTTTTTAATATTATTTTAATGACTTCATAACACACACACACACACACACATGCTGCTGCATTTTCTTTCTACTTTTGCCACAAACCGTAGTGAAAGGAAAGTATGCAATTAGTTTTTCTCAGAACTGATTGTTTATCTTATTTTACTCACGATTATTGTGGGAATTACGTATCTCTGGCTTGTGGTGAATATACATACTTATAATTATATGTATGCGTTATCTAACAACGCTTTCAGTATAAAGAGTGTTTTACTCGGGGCGAAACCCGGCATTTTGTTAATAATTCGGATACTAATAAAGATATTGCAACGAAATTTGGAGTGGGCTTACCTCAGTTCATGTGAAGTCTGGTGACATCATAACAAATGCTGGAAATGGCCACCATTTGCGTCCAGACAGCATTGGACTCGGCGCGCCACGTTTTGGAAAGTCCTTGCCCGTACGTCAGGTGTCACTTCTTGGATGGCCTCGCTTATGTTTGCTTTTAAAGCCTATATGGTTCGCGGTTTGTTGGCGTAAACTTGCGCTTTCAAATGTCCCCACAAAAAATAATCAGGCAGCGTTAGATCGGGCGAGCGCGGCGACCAAATTCCCCTGGAAATGACGCGGTCGCCGATAAAAGACTGGATTTCGGCCATGCTTGCGCGCGAGGTGTGTGCTGTTGCTCCATCCTGCTGGAAATAACCGATGGATAATTCCT